GGCGGGCCTTTCTCTAAAACACCTCTTTGTTGTGCTAATGCGCACTCTGTGATAGCATCTCCATCCATAACCTTCTCCATGTGTACAGATAACCTGGAGGGGGTGGAGTGGTGTATGTAGGGCGCTGGGAGTTGGGTAGAGGGGGTCGGAGGGGGTGTTGTTGCAGCATGTCTTGCAGCTGTGCCTACGATGACAAGCCTGTCCTCAACCTGCCCTCCGCCAGACTAAACACAACACACAACTTTACCTGCAGGGCTTCCTGCCTGCCTTCCCATCTGCAGCTCCACTTGTCCTGTGACTTTTGTGAGGATGCAATGCTGTTTTGGGATCTCACCGCTACGTCTCCACACTGCAGAGCTATAGTTAAAGTGGCAAAGGCTCTCTGTTGAAGTGCAATTGGTAGGTTCGCTGTTTGCCGATGTGCACTGGTCTGACTGAATGCACTGAACCAGGTTTTTGTGCCCATAGCAGTTCTGAGGGAGTCATGCTTGATCTTTCTGTGCCACATGGAAACTAGGTCAATGTGCTGTGCTGTCAGTTGTGTCTCTCTTGTTGGATGTGTGTGTGTGTGTGTGTGTGTGTGTGTGTGTGTGTGTGTGTGTGTGTGTGTGTGTGTGTGTGTGTGTGTGTGGAATAAAACGGTAAAATAGGGCTTTTACATAAGGATGGGATGGGTTCCACAGAAATGCAGTATTGCTGTTGCGGAGATTCTCTCAAACTGCAGCACAACCACCATCCCCCACGCCCTTCGTGCGATGCCATACTGGGAGAGAGCAAGATAGAGAGAGAAACAGAAAGGAAGAGAGAGGGAGAGATGATTTTCTCATCCTTGGTTCAGATCCCTAAGAACGCTTGGGAAGGCAGGATCTTATTATCACAGCAAATTTGCAATGTGCAGAGTGGAAGAGATTAGATGCGTCTTGCCTTTGAAGTGTATTTTCCAACCATTGTGCGATGGCAAATTCCATCAAGTGTTGGAGAGAACCGTGATAAGAGGCACGGGTTATGAATGCTGCGGCATTAAAAGCCGTCATTTGAGCAATAAGATGAAACACTCACAAACTCCTGCTAAATGAAAAATATTTCCCCTCATTGCAGCACTGTCATTCATAACAGTGTTGTGGAAAAGCCACAGATACTGAAGTAACAAGGTGCATTGGATGGCTAGAATAAATGTCTCAAAATATGTGGGATATGAATTATACTTTATGTAAATGACTGGGTATTGCCTTTTGAATCGAGGACCCCATTTCCTTTTTCTCTCCTTTTGTCACATTTGTTCCCCCAATCAGCATCATTTAATAAACTGAATCAAATGACACTACATATGATTATCATATATAGAAATGAATAAAAATCAACTTTAATCCAAAGGTGATGCAAAAGTTTGGTTTGCACTGAAAGACAAGGCTGTATTTATTTTTTTGAGAATTGAGTTGAAAACGACATTAGAGAGGCTCAAATTCCCAGTCCAGACGTGAAGGTGCTGCTGGACTTTGATCAGGCTGTCTCTACATGCCCACCTTGCCTCTTTGACCTTCCCTTTGAGTGGTCTGGCTTCTCAGGGCTTGGGTGTCAGGATAGGCCAGCGGGGGTAATGTGAGGGTGAGGCAGGAACATCACTGGAGTGTCCCCACCACTCCCAGTCCCCCTCCAACCCCCTTCCACACTCTCCTCTCAGGGTTCCTCAGAGGCTGAGGAGCTGGAGGACATCCCAGGGGACCCAGCTGAGGAGTGACATCCCCTGCCTGGGCCTTAGATCCTGTTGCAGCTTCAGACCAAACACAAACAGTGCAGAGTTGCTGGAGGTGTCTCAACACGATGGGACACACACTGCATCTGCAGTTGATCTCCTTTGTCTTCTTCCTCATTGACATCAAAGAACATTGCAGCCTTGGTGTGCAATGCCAAAAATGCTGAATAAATCATTCATTAAATGGTAATCATCCAGATTCCATTTCTTACTTATAATTCATTCTGTCGTTACTTCAAAGTGCTCACTGGTGTGGGCTTTTTAGCTATGTCTAGCAGCTATTAGCTGTAAGTCTGTGGGTTAGCTCATCAGTGTCTAATGCGCTACTGCAGAAAAAAGTATAGGTATATGTGTATATATATGTGTGTGTGTGTGTGTGTGTGTGTGTGTGTGTGTATATGTATATATGAATGTATACGTGTGTGTATATGTGTGTGTGTGTGTGTGTGTGTGTGTGTATATATATATATATGTATGTATGTATATATATATATATATATATATATATATATATATATATATCATATATATGTATACGTGTGTGTGTGTGTGTGTGTGTGTGTGTGTGTGTGTGTGTGTATACGTGTATATATGTGTGTATACGTGTGTGTGTGTGTGTGTATATATGTGTATATATGTGTGTATACATGTGTGCATATACGTATGTATGTATATGTATATATAAATATGAATAATATTGTATATGTATCAACTTGAGCTGCGCTGGTATACACACGACATGCCTCTCTCCATAATCACTAAGTTTTAAGGTATTTGCTCATCAGTCCCGGATGGATGGATGGATGGATGGATGGATGGATGGATGGATTTGCGTGCTTACTCTTTCCTGTGGCCAATAATGACAAGGAGTTTCTAGATACACTCTAACGTTAACAAGGGAGACTCAAACTGCATGTTGTTCCTTTCAAAAGCTCAATTCCTTTGCTTACCTTGTAGCTGCAGGGAATAAATGTTGATGGAATGTCTGAATAAATGCTGGGGAGAATAAAACTCCAGTACAGTGACACACAATCGCTGTCTTTCAGAACTTTGTGCAACATTTGAAAAGGCACAGAAAAATCAACAGAAGAGTGAGCAGGGCCAAACAATCCTTACTTCCAGATAATATATTTCCTTGGTTACCTGGTCACTTCAAAACTCTCTATTGTGTGTTTTGACTGGCATTCAGCGCTGGCCTTCATCAAAATAATTGGATTTTAAGAGGAGACTTTGTATGTTAGTTTGCCTTGTGTGCAATCGAAGACTCAGACGAGACGGTAGCCTGATGATTCAGTCAGATACTCTTTCTAAGATGCTGCCTGCATGCTGCTAGTGAAATATTGAGTTGGTTTTTGGGGAAGCCTTCCCACAGAGCTTGGCTGGGGTATTTTTAGATTACAGTCTCGAAGTGGAGGCCTGAGAAATATCACTTAAGGCGGGGGACACTCCCTTTTCACTACTGATCCCCCACCCTTTTCCCCTACCCTGCTCCCATTTGTTTCCCCCCTTTGCTTCATGTATCTCTTGATTGGCCTGTCCAAAACCTTCAAGGATTGCTTATCTTGCAGGATAAATGTAAAAATGATGTTTGGTGTTTCCCTAGTCCTATGTGGTGTAATCTGCATCATTAAAGGCTTCCTGAACTGTTTTATATATGAAGGCGTACTGTCTCCACGCTGACAGCCCACTGATCCCTCCCAGGTGTTTCCATCTCTGCTTCCATATGTGTGCATATGGAAGCATCGCTCCATCCTTCTGCTTTCTTGTTGAAGTGGAACTATAGCAGCACTGTATGCACAGTCGCAAGGGCCCCCACAGAATAATTCATCTGATGCTTTGATAAGCGATAATGGACCCGGTAAGGTATAATTCATATGCGCTAGATCTCTTTAGAGAGTCTATGGCTTCCACAAAGTGTCCCACTACCTCCCTGAGTACTCCCCTCTTTCAAGACTCTCTCGTCTGGTTGAAGAGGGACCATTTATTATTTAAATCCCTCCATAATTCATCCATTCCCCACCAAGACACCCTCCGCTGCTCATTCTTCATCTAGTGCAAATTAGCATGAGCTCTTGTATGGCTCAAAACAGAGAAAGTAAGCAAGCAGAAAGAGACAGCAGCAGCTCAGTCCAACAGAGACGGCTCGGTGCTTATTCCTACTGTGATGTGATGTGATGCTGTGTGACATATTGAGTCTAATTTGTAGCCTAAAGAACCAAACAGCTGTGGCCTATTTTGTTTAGCTGTTGTTGGGGTGATGTCACTGTTTCTGCCTCGTAAGGCTGCCTTGCTCTCGGCACTCGGTGTGAGGATGTCAGGAGCATTTCGCTAAGCTGCTGATGAGGAGGGCAGGGGTTGTGTAGCCTTTATATAAATCTGATAAGTCAACCGAAGCTCTTATGTGCAATTTTTAAGACATCTATTTACCAGTGTTAAATATTCACACTTGCCCCGGTTGCTATATTTGACATGACTTATTTTTTTTTATATAATGAATAAAACAGCACATTATGTGTTTTTTATTTTTTTTATTTACTTAAAGTAATATTTCATTTGACATTTAGTTTTTATTTTATTGAGACCTAAACTGAGTTTGACATTGGTGGGGACATGTGCCATCCGTTCAACCAGATCTACACCCATGAATTTGGGGGAGCTGAATATTGACTCAGAAAAATTGTGATTCAGTAGATCTTGGGTTCCCAAACCTTTTCATGCCAAGAGCCCCCACAATAGATGCATATTAGTCCACGGAATCCCAGTTTGAGAGGACTTTGTCTTAAGGAAGGACTGGAGTGTTTTTTTAATTTTTAGGTTTGAAGTCAATCAACAAGCTAGGATCGCTAAAAATTAATGTTGCTGGGGACCTACAGCCCCCTCAAGGACCCCATTTGAAAACAACTGTGTTAGATAACTCTGATGTACATGCTGCTTTTCCTGATAAGACTCTCAAATACAAACAAATAATCTGATATTTGTAAGAACTGATATTTGAGAATTTTGTAAATGAACTCCTGAACAACCTACCTGACACTGATTTGCCTCCACAGTGCAACACTGCACTGGGTTCAGTCTGCATACCTGTTCCTTCCTGCAGCACAGGCCTCAGCATGTCAGGCCGAGTGTCTCGACTTAGCACATAGACATAACATTACCAGTGAAGAACCCTCACTGTTTAAATATGTGCGGACATTCCATCTCTATTGATCATGTATATTGATAAGGATTTTGTTTTCTGTTTCCACAGATGCAATCAATGAAAGTAATCTAGGTAAGTGGAATACTCTGAGTTTTGCTTCTATGAAGTGCTGTTTGATTAAGGTTATCTGTCAAGATAACAACTAAATCATCAGTAGACTTATATGCCGTAGTGTGATGTATTTCTACTGCTACCAGCATTAATGCAACTGCTGCTATTACTGCTGCTACCAGCGGTGTAGTCTAGGCAGTTCTAACTTTCTTTCAGCCTTTGTGTCTTCTTTTTTAGTTATTAAACATTATGGAAACATGCATGGTGATGAACATTGCAGACTCCCTGAATAATATTTGTCTGAGAAAGTTGTCCAGAATTTGTAGTTCACACTCTGTTCCACCCGTTGGCATAGTTATCTGCCCAGTGACACATTTACCAGATAGTGCTCCTTCTCCTTCGTTAGTTTGGTTGGTCTTTGTGACACTTTGTGACATTAGCTTGGTTCAGACTGCTGACTCACCTACCTGCTCTGAGGAGCCTTCACGCCTGTTGGCAGGCTCATTTTCCTGCGATACAATGCATGACATTTATTCACATACTCAATGCAGATATCTGTGTCTTTTGTTATATATAAGCAGACAATTATATTGTATAATATTTTAATTTAAAAAAGGTATCAATTGTACAGTGATAGAAAAAGTATTTAGATTCTCTTCTTAGGTAAATGTAGCAATATCTAATTCTAAAACAGTTTGTGTTTACTACTTAACTGTTCGATATATGTAGGGGAGTAAACAGTACAATATTTTTGCCTAACCTGTAATAAGTATCCAATAGCAGAAAATGGAAATGGAAAAATGATGTAGATTAGTTAGCTAGCTAGTTTGTATTTTGTTCTGGAGTAAACAAGTTGACTAGCTAACTAACTAGCTATTGATCTAGCTAGTTATCAAACATAGCAGAGCCTAGCCCATAGCATATCTCAGTAGGAGAAGGCTGACGAAGGTTCTGACTGAGGCTTGCTCAACTGTCATTGGAGCACAGAGCCAAAAGGAGTGGGACTTAGGAAGGGTCAGTTGCTACTGCTACACTATGCTAGTAGGCTATCAGTGCTAATGCCATAACCGCTCAAGAGTTTTGCTTTGTGACCGAACTCAGTACTTGTCTGGACTTACTGGCCGTTTTGTTCCAGAAAGCTTCGGAAATGTATCTATTTTTGTCTCTGGTTGTGCCAGTTGTTCGCATCGAAGTGTATTTTGTGTTGCGAGTATACACAACGGCCCGTGGCAAGAGCAAAATAGATGGTGTAGCCAGTGCATTTCATTCGCCTGGTGAGCTAAAAGTCAGTGATGGATAAAACAAAACAAAAAGATAGCTTCAGGTATTGGGTTTGAAACCTCATTTTGGCAATACTAGTTGGGTTCAGTCTGGTCTTTTTTTTTTTTTTACTTTATTTTTTGTAAAGTCATTTATTTTACAATATACAATATACAAAGAAACAAGGAACAAAACACAAGAAGAGGGCACAGATGGGCGAGAAAAAATAAGCAGGAGGAAGATGAATCATAAGAACAACATGTGTACATTTTAAGAGATAGAGCTAGATCCAGGGTTTAGGAACATTTCAGTCCTTTTTGTTTCACTTGTCCATACTCTTTTCTCCACATCATAACCGGGCAGAGGCCTACTCATATAGGTGTACTCTCCCGATGCTTATCGTACATCGAATAGGACTTTAGGGGGCATTTTACTCAAACAACAAAACACAGTTAGTTACATAGGTAACATCCTGTTGTGAAGAGGGGCCATTTATTCAAGATGAGCTGTCCATTTCCTCTCGTATGTAGTGAATTTGTCCATGCACATGTTCAAGGAAAAAGTCAGTTTTTCCATGTCATATTTCTTTAACAATTGCAATCCACGTCTCTTTTGATGGGGACTCTTTTGATAGCCATCTTCTTGTAATAGCTTTTTTACTGTCTACTAACATTATTTTAATCAAATATTTATCTGTAACATTAATTGTGGGTTGGGTCTTAAAGATGCAAGTACAGGCTGGATTTCAGTTTTAGGCCCATGCAGAACTATGAAAAGATTTTTATTTGTTGGTTTTCATGGAAAGGAAATGCATGGTAAAATAGATACTATTAAACTACCATCCACTAGAGCAGAGATATCTGGTTTAAAACAGACAAGTGAAGTTCAGGGCATTTCTCAGGCTCTTTTTATATTGTTACCACCCAGACAGGTAGGTATGTGCCTGCACTGATTATAATGTTTGATTAACACAGTGATACAGGCCGTGGGCTGCAGCATGGAGGCATGTCACATTCCTGCGTTCCACCTACTGCAGGGAAGAATGTTCCTGGGTAAACCTGTCTCAGTGCTGTTTCCTAATAATTCTCTGTTTGCTTTAATCCGCTTGAAGTGTAAGATGAGTGGGGTTTACTGTATTAGGAAATTTCACACAGTGTCAGGTATGTGGTGAAATTATATTGATGCTCTTATACAGTATATCACTGGGAGAGAGAAAATACAGGGGTTGTTCTATATGTTATGATTGCTCAATAATGCAAACTTTAAAGTAAGATATTACATTTTAAGTTTTTTTTAATTGTTATGCTCTCAATATGCTGTAGCTATAACTAAATATTGATTTTTCACCATATATAGCTCAAGAAGGCTTTCATATTTGCTGTTAAATACCAAATTCGTATTTGCCATAAAGATGAGCCAAACAAAATAGGGTGTTCTTGTAGCAAGTAGGATGTGGGATGTCTATGGCAGCAAATCCACAGATACACAGTTCAGACCCATAAAACGTATATAGTATGTTTTAAAAAAACGTAAAGACATAATGTGGAGCAGGCAGGGTTGAGGGGTTGCCCTTTCAGAGCAGCAGGCACAACATATCTCTGAGTCTTTTTCAGCCTTTTCTGTGCAAGCAGGCATCTTGCTCACTAAGAAAAGTTATCTGCATTGCAAGAAACAGCATTACACAAGCAGTAAAGCCAGTGGAAGTGTACAATTATATTGCCAATTTCAATTGCTCACTGACTGAATTTAGTAGTAAACTTGCCACAGTTGCAACAGTTAGTCCTATAACCAATTAGTCAATTGTATGTAAATGAATCAGCACTTATGGAATGATGGGAAATTACATTTCCAGGAATTTTTTTTTGTGTAACCATGGCAAAAGTTGATAGGAGTCATAAGTCATTGAACTGAAACCGTAATGTCACTAATACAGCAATAACTTTGTCAAATTTGCAAAAACATCTTCCAGACGTTCTTTGTGCTTTCAGTGAAGAAATACTTTACTTTCCGATATAACTGATGCTAGCATCATCTACACTAACCTCTTTATCACCTGAGCAGCAAAACCCCTGAGTGCGTTGAATTGAATGGGAACCATTATTTTTTGTAAGGTCAACTATTCATTTGTAAGAGTAAGATTGTGTTATTTCCTCTTTCAAATGTCGCGCTTTATTTGATTAAATGCTATTCTATTCGATTCAATTAAAGATGGTGAGAGATTAGTTAGTTGCAGCCACAGAATTTATGACATAATTCTTTTAAATGTTAAATGTTTTGTGCACAAAACAAATAAAAAATTAGAGTAGGTTGGAAAAAAATATATGCTGCCATGCACATTACACTTAATTTGCAAACAGCGGCAACTAGGTCAAATATTCTTGAATCTTGCTGTTTGGCAATGTGTACTTCAAATTCAAATCTTTTTAAAATGATTATCATCATGTCACAGCCTGGATGTCAGTCATTTTACCTGAAACCTGCACATCAGCCTGTAGGCCCTCCTAAGGGTTGAGGTAAGACAGAGCCAGCCAGTTACCTCTTTGTCTCCAAACCAGTGCAACTGGCCTCTCCTAGTGTCCCTGCCTCCCTGATTAGAGGTCTCCTCAGGGCGTAATGACAGAATTGTGTTCCTGTCAGTTCCTGCTGCTCAGAGTGGGCTAATAGTCATGTTAGCCCACGCAGCATGTCATTAGCTCTCCACCCGTAGCCCAATGAGGGGCAAGTCTGTCATTTCGAGACTAAATCACAGGGCAGGCAGGCCGGAGATCACAGTCACACCGGTGCTCTGAAGCTCCAGTGGTTCCTCCCACCCTTCCATGCCGCACTTAATATGCACCGACTTACACATACTGTATTAACACGGAGGAATTACTGCGACATGGGCTAGAGGAGGGAAATGGAAGTCAAAGAGAGGCACTTTGATCGGCCGCTGATACAGAAATCATTTCATCAAAATCATAATTTGAAACACACTGCTCATTTCTGACATTTCTGATTGGATGATTCATGGTTATCACTCGGATGATTAGCAGGCTTGTGTAGCATCTATCAGAGCTTGGGCTAATCTTCTTTGATTATTAGCCTCTAAGCCTTCCTTCCATGCTGGGCTTGTCGAGCATAGAGTGATGAGAAATTACACTCTCCTCATATTTGTATTAATCTATCTGTGCTTACTTGTCAAACTGATAATTGCGTCGCCCATACAGATCACCCCCTCAAGAATGTGTTTGCAGTGTTTCTCTATCCTCACACATGCAAACATTCCTTCACACTACAGTGGGTACTGTTGCAGTGTATTAATCAATTATTGCAGTGTAAATACCAAGCTTAATAATAGAGTTATTTTGTCGCAATTCACACCTCTTACACTTATTTAGACTGGCTTTAAGGCTCACTTAAAATCCTAAGAACTAAGTATGTTAAACTAACCTTTAAACTAAATCAAAGTAATTATACATGTTATATGTTTTAAACCCCTTGAACTATTAGAATTGACAGATAATCAGTCTGGACACAGTGACAACAGCTACAAGTTGAAACCTTCGAAGCAACTGGCTTAGATTAGTTTCAGGTGTTCAGTTTCTCACCCAGAGGGATTCTGGCCTGGCCTGGCTTGTTCTGGTTCTCCTACGTTGTGCCGTTCAACCCAGTGTCAGCACCATTAAGTCTGAAATACGCCTGTTTGTGATTTCAGTACATGTGTTGTGTTGAAAATACACAAGTCTTAAGGATAGAATACAGTAACGGCTGGACAGGCTTTG